GCCCCTAGTCCAAAATTGAAAATGTATTTCCTACTTGGTTCTTTGCTCAAAAAATTTTAGGATGTTTTATTTGTATTTGTTTTAAGCACTAAAATATTAATGCAAAGTTTCAATCCATTTGGATAAACCCTCGAAGAAAAAAGTGACAAAGTTGATTTTGACTAGGGTCGCCCCTAGTCCAAAATTGAAAATGTATTTCCTACTTGGTTCTTTGCTCAAAAAATTTTAGGATGTTTTATTTGTATTTGTTTTAAGCACTTGAATATAAGTGCAAAGTTTCAATCCATTTGGATAAAATCTCGAAGAAAAAAGTGACAAAATTGATTTTGACTAGGGTCGCCCCTAGTCCAAAATTTAAAATGTATTTCCTACTTGGTTCTTTGCTTAAAAAATTTTTAGAATGTTTTATTTGTATTTGTTTTGAGCACTAGAATATTTATGCAAAGTTTCAAACCATTTGGATAAACCCTAGAAGAAAAAAGTGACAAAATTGAGTTTGACTAGACCTGTCCCAAGTTCATAATTGAAAATGTATTTCCTACTTGGTTCTTTGCTCAAAAAATTTTAGGATGTTTTATTTGTATTTGTTTTAAGCACTAAAATATTAATGCAAAGTTTCAATCCATTTGGATAAACCCTCGAAGAAAAAAGTGACAAAGTTGATTTTGACTAGGGTCGCCCCTAGTCCAAAATTGAAAATGTATTTCCTACTTGGTTCTTTGCTCAAAAAATTTTAGGATGTTTTATTTGTATTTGTTTTAAGCACTAAAATATTAATGCAAAGTTTCAATCCATTTGGATAAACCCTCGAAGAAAAAAGTGACAAAGTTGATTTTGACTAGGGTCGCCCCTAGTCCAAAATTGAAAATGTATTTCCTACTTGGTTCTTTGCTCAAAAAATTTTAGGATGTTTTATTTGTATTTGTTTTAAGCACTTGAATATAAGTGCAAAGTTTCAATCCATTTGGATAAAATCTCGAAGAAAAAAGTGACAAAATTGATTTTGACTAGGGTCGCCCCTAGTCCAAAATTTAAAATGTATTTCCTACTTGGTTCTTTGCTTAAAAAATTTTTAGAATGTTTTATTTGTATTTGTTTTGAGCACTAGAATATTTATGCAAAGTTTCAAACCATTTGGATAAACCCTAGAAGAAAAAAGTGACAAAATTGAGTTTGACTAGACCTGTCCCAAGTTCATAATTGAAAATGTATTTCCTACTTGGTTCTTTGCTCAAAAAATTTTAGGATGTTTTATTTGTATTTGTTTTAAGCACTAAAATATTAATGCAAAGTTTCAATCCATTTGGATAAACCCTCGAAGAAAAAAGTGACAAAGTTGATTTTGACTAGGGTCGCCCCTAGTCCAAAATTGAAAATGTATTTCCTACTTGGTTCTTTGCTCAAAAAATTTTAGGATGTTTTATTTGTATTTGTTTTAAGCACTTGAATATAAGTGCAAAGTTTCAATCCATTTGGATAAAATCTCGAAGAAAAAAGTGACAAAATTGATTTTGACTAGGGTCGCCCCTAGTCCAAAATTGAAAATGTATTTCCTACTTGGTTCTTTGCTCAAAAAATTTTAAGATGTTTTATTTGTATTTGTTTTAAGCACTAAAATATTAATGCAAAGTTTCAATCCATTTGGATAAACCCTAGAAGAAAAAAGTGAGAAATTGATTTTGACCAGGGTCGCCCCTAGTCCAAAATTGAAAATGTATTTCCTACTTGGTTCTTTGCTCAAAAAAATTTTAGAATATTTTTTTGTATTGTTTTTAAGCACAAAAATATTTATGCAAAGTTTCAATCCATTTGTATAAACCCTCGAAGAAAAAAGTGACAAAATTGAGTTTGACTAGACCTGTCCCAAGTTCATAATTGAAAATGTATTTCCTACTTGGTTCTTTGCTCAAAAAATTTTAGGATGTTTTATTTGTATTTGTTTTAAGCACTAAAATATTAATGCAAAGTTTCAATCCATTTGGATAAACCCTCGAAGAAAAAAGTGACAAAGTTGATTTTGACTAGGGTCGCCCCTAGTCCAAAATTGAAAATGTATTTCTTACTTGGTTCTTTGCTCAAAAAATTTTAGGATGTTTTATTTGTATTTGTTTTAAGCACTAAAATATTAATGCAAAGTTTCAATCCATTTGGATAAACCCTCGAAGAAAAAAGTGACAAAGTTGATTTTGACTAGGGTCGCCCCTAGTCCAAAATTGAAAATGTATTTCCTACTTGGTTCTTTGCTCAAAAAATTTTAGGATGTTTTATTTGTATTTTTTTTAAGCACTTGAATATAAGTGCAAAGTTTCAAACCATTTGGATAAACCCTCGAAGAAAAAAAGTGACAAATTGATTTTGACTAGATCTGTCCCAAGTTCATAATTGAAAATGTATTTCCTACTTGGTTCTTTGCTCAAAAAATTTTAGGATGTTTTATTTGTATTTGTTTTAAGCACTAAAATACTAATGCAAAGTTTCAATCCATTTGGATATACCCTCGAAGAAAAAAGTGACAAAATTGATTTTGACTAGGGTCGCACCTAGTCCAAAATTGAAAATGTATTTCCTACTTGGTTCTTTGTTCAAAAAAATTTTAGAATGTTTTATTTGTATTTGTTTTAAGCATTAAAATATTTATGCAAAGTTTCAATCCATTTGAATAAACCCTCGAAGAAAAAAGTGACAAAATTGATTTTGACTAGGGTCGCCCCTAGTCCAAAATTGAAAATGTATTTCCTATTTGGTTCTTTGCTCAAAAAAATTTTAAAGGATTTTTTATTTGTATTTGTTTCAAGCACTAGAATATTAATGCAAAGTTTCAATCCATTTGAATAAACCCTCGAAGAAAAAAGTGACAAAATTGATTTTGACTAGGGTCGCCCCTAGTCCAAAATTGAAAATGTATTTCCTACTTGGTTCTTTGCTCAAAAAAATTTTAAAGGATTTTTTATTTGTATTTGTTTTAAGCACTAGAATATTTATGCAAAGTTTCAATCCATTTGGATAAACCATCGAAGAAAAAAGTGACAAAATTGATTTTGACTAGGGTCGCCCCTAGTCCAAAATTGAAAATTTATTTCCTACTTGGTTACTAATTCAAAAATCTTAGGATGTTTTATTTGTGTTTGTTTTAAGCATTAAAATATTTATGCAAAGTTTCAATCCATTTGAATAAACCCTCGAATAAAAAAGTGACAAAATTGATTTTGACTAGAGTTGCCCCTAGTCCAAAATTGAAAATTGATTTTCTATGGTGTACTTTGGTCAAAAACTTTTTTGGATATTTTATTTGAATTGACATAATTCTGACATAAATCACATGCCAATATTACTTTTTGTAATGCGTAGCTTAAAAAAATCGAAATCTAAAATTTCGACTACCCCATCTGAATTTTGTTCATACTCTTCACTGTGGAAACCAAAAGTCAAATTCTTTAACTTAAAACACTTGACATAATAATATTTTAACATTTACGAGAAAATGTGGTTCAAATAAGTGTGAAGTATGGCCGAGATTTGGATCAAAATCAGCTTTACAAAATTCAAACTAAGTGTTTTTGTAGCTGACATAATTATAACATAAATTAGGTATAACTTTTGAACTGTGTCGATATGGGTCTCGGCCGTACTTCACGCCCACCCTTCAAACTTATGCTGAGCAAATCTTGGTCTATCCATAAGACTTTTGATGGTACGGCGTGAATATATCCGCATTGGGTTTCTACCCGATACACTAGTTTCAACAATTTTTGATATTTTATTGGACCATTTTGGTCGCTCAAAAAAGATAAAGAACGTATAAAGTAATTATATTAAATATAATCATAAAACCACTTCTGTGCCTTATTTTTTTCATGGAAAAATACTTTGATGTAGAAATTCATTCCTGTCCATTTTAATAAATTCTAAACTTTTTTGATATGTCAAGAGCAGACTTAAATAAAGCTAGACTTGGAAACATATAAATTTAATTCAATGTTTAAACAGTTTCCTGAGTAAAATTCAAGTTCAGTGCTTCTGCACAACAACAAAAACATAATATCTATCCGACAATAAAGAAAAGAACCAGACTTTACAGAAAAAAAGTTTTCATGTCAATGACTGAACAACAAAGTAACAAAATTTCACAAAGCCCCATTAAAGTTTTAGGAAAATGTTTAGTATCATGAGATATTTTCTGCATTGGATCAAGAAAAGGATCATTGTATTGAAATCATAAAGTTTCATTTTCATCTCTCTTGTTTACCTTATTTTTCCCTTTGCGTAATAAAAATGTCTTTTTTAAAGCATTTTGTTGTGAATATCTAAACCAGAATGCTAGCTAATAATTGTATATCTCATGCGAGTTGTTTGTGTTTTATGAATTTACTAATTGAAATATGTTCAGATGAATTTTTCAAACGTGTTTTGGGAAATTTATTATTTTTCGTGTAAACATTTTGAACTATAGTGTTGGTAAGAACTTCAATATTTTTTAACGTCGTAATAGCAACTGACGATGGAAATAAAACAGTGTAAATTCATTAAAATCATTTTCTTGTTGTTTTGTTGGGTTCTTTAAGAAATAAATATCAGGTGTCTGGAAATTTGGTGCTTAAATATGAAACTAGTTTACAACCTATCTCAATTTTAACACATGAGTAACAAAAACTTGAAGTGTGTATGCATGATTCATGTAGAAATTCTCATACGTATGAAAAAACGTGCAGTCTTAATTCTGGCATTTTGCCAAGCGGCAAATCAGAGTAAATCGTGAGCTAATTAACATTAGAGTACAGCATAATGGAAAACGGACTTCGTGATGAAGTGTCACACATAACTCATGCAGGCAAAATGCATTATAAATGCTTCTGGGTCAATCCAAGTAAATATGAAAATATTTATTCGTACACATGTGACTTTAATGTTAAACATGAACACTTTTTTTCCACGAGAAAATATTTATAAATATTTATTTACACAAGGATTTGAAATGCCTCAATGCTATGTTTATACACTACCTTCAAGCATCCTACACATACGGGTGGTGTCACTTGTGACGGTCCAATGATTAAAGGAGCTTCTTTCAAAACAATTTCTCCCGGCTTAATGTTTCTGGTTGCAATAAAATGTCGACCAATTTTATCGTCATGACACATTCTCATTGGAACGCATCGTGGCTTGTGATTTTTCCAATCTTCTCTTTGATGCTCCACACTACAATAAAATGCCTGAACACATCCAGAACAACGAGATTTGGCAGCTTTGTCACAAATTTGACATTTTCCGGAATTTTCCACTTCCGTGTTCGATTCAACCATTATTCAATTACACCTTAACACTCAATCTAATTCGAATAAGAAGCTACAAATAATTTTTCACCGGAGTGTTTAACAGACGAATGTCGTTTCTTTTGCGGCTATGAATAAAATGAGCAAAAAAAGAGATTACTTTTCCCTTTCGTATACGAAAAAAAGATGTGTTGCTGTATCTCTCGAGAAAAGTGTAAGATATTTATTTATATCCCAAAAAAATGCTCTCGGTTTTTCTAGATTTATAAATACTTAATTGAGTCGGGATGGATAGACGAAATGTATAAATTTCTGTTCTCACATACAATTTCATCTAATAAACTGTAAATGAAGATAAGTTCATATCATATAAATTTTCCAATAAAAGCTTCCAAAGAAAATTGCTTTAAATATAATCGTAATGGATTGAACTTTACTGGCCTATAATTTATATATTCAAAATGTATGCAATTTTTTAACTTACTCAACCTTTTGAGCTATCAACAACTCATTGACACCTCGTTACTACATGTAATAACATGTTTTATATCCTATCCAGATAACTATCATGTTGAAGCTTCAATTTAGGTTCGTTCGTTAGTTTTTAAAGAATTAGATTTACTTCCTGTATCGACAAGAGTGTTGTGTAATGAATGTACCATGTTTTCCTAGCTTACTCCGGGGATATATCTAATAAATTAGTAAAGCGACAGGAATAGATGATAACTGGATGCAAAGGTAAAAAAAGTAGAGATTTTCAGACTATTCAGCTTAGCTGCTATTATTCAAACAATTAATCCACGTAATTACATGGTTCAATGGCTATAGCATGAATTGCCAGGTATAATTCTCTAACAATGTTTCACAGCAACATATGGTTTACATTTTCAAGTATTGATCGAAAGGAGAAAATATGTTTAGCTATCTAGTCATGTTCGATGAAAATAATATTGTATTTTGTTACCTTTATACTAAGGATATGTTACAAAAAATTGTTGATAAAGACAATAACATTTAATTCTAAACATATTTTTGGATCCATTTTCTACTGTAAACGAGTAAAACAGTTTAATATATTGCACTTCCAAGAAGTCGATAGGCACGTTTTTTCAGTAATGAATGCATCCATATTTTCAATGTCGAGGATATATTTTTTCATCTCTTGATATTTATCATTTTTCAAAACACGTTCAGTGTCTTATGATAATATTAATGAAAACGAACTGAACCATATTATTAAATATCACAATTCAAGCTGACTGTAGAAATTGTAAAAGTCGTAAAAATGTAGTCCTGAAGTAACATTACACAACCTTTTATGTATATGTTTTCGTCTTAAAGTAACAAGCAACAGAAAGTGAATCTTTCCGAAATGACAATAATTTTTCGCTAGCCGAAAGAACTGAAAATGGAAGGAAAAGAAAAATTTCCGGCTGTCAACACAGTCACATCATTTAACTTAAACATTTTTCGTGTCTGACATTATAAATTTTAGCATTTTTCATCTGTCATGACCCATTTTTAAAATTTGCTTCTTTCATTTCGTCTCTCTGTTTTGTTGAAAGGAATTATGTAGGATTCTTTTGAAAAATAATAGTTTGGGAGGAAATGCTTCACTTTTCTAATAGAATATACTTTAGATTTAACAATAGAATATAAATTATTAATGCATAGATGTATAATTTAAGAACAAGTGAAGAGATTTCTTGGTGAAATTTAGTTGCTCTTTCCTTCATAAATTATAAATTATCATCATTTTTCACATCAAAGAAGGAATATCTCATTTTGCTCTACATTCAGTAGAATTCTAAGATTTATTTTCTTACATCCTTGGTTTTATTTAATTTTTTTGCATACACATACTTCAGCAATAAAAAGTTTGTTCTTTATGAACATTTTGTATGTTTTAAAAATTATTCAAAAAGTGAAGAAATGTTCAGGCGTCGTTCGTATTTTATGTTTTTGACTCCTTAAGCGTGAAGCCAGAGGGAGGATTAGGGAACAAATCTTTCACAACAGAAATTTTTTAAATCTTTTTGGGGGTTTCAGGTCTTTCTCCTTCCTTAAACAATAAAAAAGAAAATTTCTGGCAACGCCCTAATGTTCTCTTTTTTAATTTGTTTGACATTCCATTTCAATTATCAGACTTATCGTTACTCAATATACGAACTACCCTCAAACACGAAAAGCTGTAGAGTTTTTCAGCTTACCATTTTCTGTTCCTTCCATTTCCCAAATCTAATGGGATTGCTATTCAAGTGCACATTAAAGGCTTACAAATACAATGTATGAAAATAGTATGGAATGATCGTATTATGTAAAGTAATCCCTACACGAAAATGTAAAACCATCCAACACCTCGTCATCAATCTACATGATAAGCTCTTAGTAATAGTTTTTGATATGTTCATTTGAAAACATCATTCAACTATTGATCCTGTTTATTTCGGTTCGACCCTAAAATTCAAATAAATTTATATGCTCATTTTATGTCAAAAGTAAAAGGAAACTTTTGTTTTGTAGTTAACTAAATTTGAAGCACTTATCTTAGCGGTCTGATCTACTAATTCATTTAAGGATACAAAAATCATTTCATATGATTTAATAATAAAACTTCGTGAGTAGAAAAATAAACGTTCTTTCACCAAAAAAATTGATTGCGTGTTTATTTATTTTGTTATCCTAATAATAGCAATTTGTATATGTTCTTATTTCACATAAGATGCTCGCGTGATAAAATGAATTACAAAAAATTTTACCAAATTATACGAGACTGCTAATATAAACATTGTAGTGGTTATGAAATATTTTACACAGCACATATACGTACATAAATGTTGTGTTGAAATGACAATTGACAATGCTTTTCATAAAGTCTGATGTTCGTTCATGAAAAAAGAAGCATATAATTACTTTCGCTTTCTCCAACGCTTAAAATAATTGTAACGAAGGCAATAAACTAGAAAAATTCTTTTAAAAGTCACGTGAACAACAGGCTTTAACTTCTTTCTGATGTTTTTAAGTGCTAAAACTTTTATTTGCTTTAATAAAATTGTTTAATTACCTACATTTTGTGTACGACTAAATTTGTATTCAACTTTGAATTTTGGCTAGATATTTTAACTTCAAACTTAGTTGTTTGAGATGCCAATACTCTTACAAAATTTGTTTTCGATAAAACCAAGACCTTAATCATCATGTAGTAAGCGAACCGCTCTCATCCAAGAAATTTGATTGTAGTATAAAGCTCGTACTGACTCTTATATAAAAGGATCATTCCCATGTTACACCCAATAAATGTTGAATCAAAACAACTTTGAAAGATGTCTAAACTTTTGGAGATTTGATGGTTCGTTCTCGAATTTTATCAATGAATATTGGGCTCAAAATTTTACTGAAACGCTCGTTAAACTGATGAAAAGTTTTCCTTGCAAAAGTCATTAAAATCTCCTCAAAATGTTTTATTGATTTTCCAACTAATCCTGTTCTCTCGAATATAAAATTTAACATGAAACTTGAGTTCAAATTCAAGGGGATTTGAAGATCTTAAAGAAGTATTTTCAACATTTGTTGAATAACATCACTTAAAAATTCTTACATTAGAAACACGTCCACATTTTCCAAAACTTTGATTTTCCTTTGAGACATTTTGAGAGAGCAAATTTAATAACCAATCTTGCGTAACAAATTTCTCAAGATTTTTATTCTGTCTGGCACATTTCGCTGCAGGATATTTATCTTTTAAGAAATTTCTCAATATGAAGTCTATAAAAAGTTTTCAGTTCCAATATTTTAAAAAGTATTATTGAAGTTTTTAGCTTTTCAACACACTGTGGTTGAGTTTTATAAACTGGATTTATAATTAATAAAAATCTTTTGTTTAACTCCGTATATGGAAAGTTATTAAAGCTTTTATAACCCTCACAATGTGCTATGCTTCTCAATTCAATAACATAATTACTTTTATAATTACAATGTATGTACAATTACATAAAAATGTTACTTAAACTTAATACACGATATTAAAGGAATTTAAGCACAAAAGTATAACAATAAAAATGTTTATACAATACATCCGTTTTCCACCAAAGTGATTCTGATTGCATTTACGTAGCGATGGAAGAATTTCATCGGAATTTGTAAAGACGAGATGGAAAAGTTTTTGAAAAGATAATTTTCTTTACTTGACGGCTACAGAGAAAACTTCCTTTTTGATCCTTTTACTTTCATTCTTTCTTTGATGTGATTTATTGATTTTTGCTTATCTAAACAACTCTCATTTCCGGTTTTTCTTTCAGGAGTTGCTCACACTACAATTGAATCAAATGGATCATCCAATACTTTTGAAGTCAATCAGGTGAATCATCTTTCTGTTTATACCGATTTATTTGAATAAATATAATATTAAGCACAATTCAATATTGAATCGATGTCAAGTTATATGTTAATGTCAAAAATGTCGAAAAGTAACTGCGGGCAATATTTTTTACCATTGACAGTATTAACAAGCTTTATGGTTCAACCATCTTTAAATACAAATAGTGTCATAATAAAAATGGTTTTGTATATCCATAACGTTATTTTATGGGAAGAATATTGAAGGATTTCTTGTTGATTGCAATTTTATTTTGGCGACATGAAAGTAAGCTTTAATTTAGTGTATGCCATGGAAATGCTCGAGAAACAGAAAGAAGACAAAAGATTCCACTTGAATCTATATGGAGTTGAAATGAATTTACTGTAATGCAAGGACTGGCCAGCTGGACTTAGCTAGTCCAACATTTTAAACCTTCAAACTTTCCATTTTGCATCATTTAACCACAGTTATTTGAATTTTATTAAGTTTTTAACATTCCCAGAATATGAAATTTTAGTACAGAGAAGAAATAATTCAAAGAACTGCTTCAATGATTTTTGCCGCTTTCTTATGAAATAAAGTTGATGTTTGACATCAACCTTGCTGAAATTTACTTATTTTTTTCAATTTAGATAAGATCAAGAAAAGCATACAATTTAAGAAAATGTATATTTCAGAAGTAAGAATTCAATCTATCTCCTATGACATGACATTTTGAGAATTTTTCAAGACCCAAAACTTCAAAGAGATAAATGCGATGAAGAAAAAAAAGTTTTATCTC